GCTGGCCCTCCTGAGCTGGTGGCCAGTGTTTTTTGTAGCCATTTCTGCTGCTCAACAAGATGAAAAATAAAATATTCTTCCCAGAGTAGCTCTCCGAGCGTGTCACAGGGCCTGCCAGACCGCTTCTGGTGTCCTCGCTGGCTTTACCTCCACCTTGCGGCCCTCCCACGCCAGCTGGCACAGCTAGTAGGGGCGAAACTTGCGTTGGGCCCGCATCAGCTCGATCCTCTGCTTGTCCTCCTCAAACTTTTTGCGCAGCTGTGCTAGATCTGGGGGTGCAAGGGAACATGGGGCAGGGTCAGCACAGGGAGCTGCCTGCTAGGGGCACTGCCTCCACTCCCACCCCCACCTCCTGTGTGGCCTCTACCCTACCCCTGCTCTGGGAGCAGGGATGGACGCACGAGGAAATGGAGCCGGGGAGAGGAGAGGCCGAGCGCAGGGTCTCAGAGAGAGGGCCGGAAGACAGCAAGGCACTTGCTCCTTCTCTGCCCCCACTGTCCGGAAGGTGGTCCAGGCCTAGGAGACCCCCGAGAGCGCCTACCCCTCCTCAGATCCTGACTGCTGACTAGCAACCAAATGTCACCCAGTATTCAGAGGGTGGCGGGCTTGTGGGGTTGAGTCCGAGGGAGGGTATACTGCAGGGAGGGGAGGTGCAGGAGAGGGCAGTGAGGCAGAGGGGGGCCAGGCCCTCCAGCCCATGGGACACTGTCCTGCAAGCAGGGAAACCAGGTGGTAGACAGCGAGCTCAGCAACAGCGCTGCTTAGAGTGGGTGACTGTGGACCACGCCCCAGGAGTACTCTAGGTAGGGCCACGGACAGCCACCTCCCACACACAGCCCCAGCGGGTATCAGCCTCTCCTTGCCCTAGAGATGGAAGGTTCTAACATCACCTCTGGGGCCTGGACGTGGGGCCAAGCCCAGCTGCCTCTGCAGCCCTGGGAACCCAAGCCCCACCCAGTGGGCAAATGTAGCCACCCTGGCAACGACAGAGGGACCACCACACCAGGCTGGGGCTCAGACCCCAGACCTGCTGGGGGCCAGGGCCTGGGCCTAAGGATGCCCTCCTGCCACCCCCCACGCCCAGCAGCCTGAGGACAAGTCCACGCAGCTCCCTTACGCTCCATCTTGGTCTCGCGGTGCTGCCAGGCGTAGAAGTTGAGCAGCTCCTTGCGGGCGCGCTTCCGCTTCTCCCTCTCCAGTACCCGTAGGCTGGCGGCCTCGGTCCTGGGGAGCACAGGCCGCCGGCTACGGCGGGTCACCTTTACCCAGCCCTCCTCATCAGGGACTCCTTCTTCCTCCTTGGCCTTTGCCTCCTCCTGCAAGGAATGCGACCCTGTTGGTGTGTGGGCTCCTCAGCTGAGGGGTCACCCTGGGCCTCCTCCACGTCTTCCTGGATGCCTGGAGCCTATGCCGATGCTGCTCCTCCTTATCCTCCAGATCACTAGATGCCACTGGCCAGGTGGGCCAGGACTACCTGGGCTCACAGGCAAGCAGGACGGCTGCACCTCTGTGCCTGGGGAGCACCTCCACCACCTCTGCAGCTGTGGGTGCTCAGCCACGCCTGCCAGGGCCCTACCTCAGCTGCCTTCCGGTCGTACGCCTCCATGAAGGCATCCACTTCCAGCTGCAGGGCCTCGGGGTCGGGCACCGAGTCTGTGTAGTCGCTGATCCATTCTGAGGGGCAAGGGACAAAGGAAATGGGGCTTCCTCAGGCAGGTCCCTGTGGCCCAGGGTCAGGTGGTGAGAAGACTCTAGTGGCACAGGCTGGACACAGCCCGGCACCGCATGCTCCACCTCCCACGCTGCTCTCAGGGAGAGTGGACGCGGCTCGTGGCTTTCCTACACACT